CTTTCGCGAAACAGGTATAAAACAAATTTTTGGTGTTTGTCTCTCTCTCTCTCTCTCTCTCTCTCTCTTTAAAGAATTAACACGTACCTGGAATTTTGTTTTTTACCTTTCATTATAATAACTTTTGACATTGTTTTTTTTTTTTTTTTTTTTTTTTTTGTTATTTTGGGATACCCTCCTCTCTTTACACACACACACACAGGATGATTAAACAATTTTTTTAAGAAATATCGTGTAGAAAATTATTTTTTTTTCAAATCGCCATTTTTTTTTAATCGTTAGTATTTCCGTCCGATATACCTGAATTCCGTACGAAATAACAAAGCATCGAAATAATTTTTCTATCTCTCTCTCTCTCTCTCTCTCTCTCTTTCATTTTGTTTACTCGCGACAAAATTCAAACGACATGTTTATGCGTCGTACACACGCACACACGAAAAAAAAAAAAAAAACAAAACAAACGTATATGCTTCGGTTTGTGTGTGTGTGTGTGTGTGAGAGAGAGAGAGAGATATGGAGTCAAACGTGACGATTACTGTGTGTTTTCCCCTTTTTTTTTTTTTTATTCCGGAGGGGGGAGGCGGGGGTGGTGAAACGAACGCGAATCGGATGAAAATAATAATAATAATAACGATTTCTTCCCGTTCTTTACATTATAACAGCTCGAACTACTTTCGGTGGATATTTCGAACGAGTTTCTCTCTCTATCTCTATCTCTCTCTTTCTCTCTCTTTGTTAACGGATACGCGTGATGACAAATGAATAATTTGTAACGATGTTTTCATTATTATTATTATTATTAAAGATACAATCGTACCGAAGAATCATAATACCGCCATTGAATTTTTTTTTTTTCAATCAATCAATCAATCAATCATTCATTCGATATAAACGATCGTCGCGACAACGAACGAAAACGGAAACGAGGGGGAAAAAAATTCTTTTCCGGTAGTCGGGGGAACAAGGGGGGGGAGGGGAAGAAGAAAGAGGATAAAATAAGAACGGTCGGTGCCATTACAAAAAAAAAGAAAAAAGAAAAAAACCCATCGGAATACTAAAATTGTCAAACCCCTTTTTTTTTCGATCGATCGATAAAATCGATACGCGCGATGCCGCCGCCATCATCATCCGGGGTTATTTTATCCTTTAAAAAAAAAAAAAAAAAAAAAATAAGGAAAAAGGTTTACCAAAGTGAAATCATGATCGGTCCAAAAACTTCGGGGATAAAATATAAGAGAATGGAGTGAGGGCGAAAGAAGAAGAGGGATGCTGCTGATGTTGCCGCCGCCGAGGGATGCAATGGGCAGTGGGAAAAAAAGAAAAAAAACCGGCGGATGAGATCGAGAGAAGGGAAAAGGGTGTGGAAAAGAAGAAAAAGACGAAAAGAGGGAGAGAAGGAAAGGAAAGGAAAGAGGAAAACGGTCGGTGGAGGGAGAGAGGGAGTCCGGATAGGGAAAGAGGAAAAGGACGAAGGGAAGATTGGAGAGATGGGGAGAGAGAGAGGGAGGGAGGGAAAAGTGTTGTAGAGAGAGAGAGAGAGAAAGGTGATAAATGAAAAAAGGACTTTTCATTATTGAATAAAGGTCATTTCTCACGTGAAAAATTACATGGAAGCCGATCCGACAGAGAAATCGACATTTTGTAACCGAAATTTTTTTTTTCTTCTTTTTTTTTTCGGGACGGATATATATATATATTTTTTCCAACCCTTTTTCACGACTATTTCACGAGAGAAAGAGCACGCGAGAGTGAGAGTGAGAGAGATAGAGAGATAAAGTAGGCGTGAACATGGGAGAGGAAAGGAAGTGGAGGACGTGGAAGAAGAAGAAGAAGAGAGGAAACGAATTTTTTTTTATTTTTTTCGGGTTCGAAACGGTGGATTTTTTTTTTAAACGCCGTTAAAATTTATCTACGCGTTGACACAACGTAGCGAAAATGAAACGTCTGGTCTGATGTATGAAAGGGCATTAAATTTTGACTTACCCCTTTTTTCTAAATTGCATCCCCCCTCTCCCTACCCTCCCTCCTCCTCCTTCCCAAATCGTCACGTTTTTCTTCCCTCATACAACCCTCCCCCCATCAATCTGTCTCTCTCGCGGTGGTCGTTCTACCGATCGCACGCACGCACGCACACGCACGCACCTTCATTTAATTTATCATTCTCCCGTTAATTACACGTCGTTTGAATGAGATAGAAATTAATCGTTTGTTTTTCGTTATGGTCATATATTCATACCGATTCCCCCTCCCTATTCTTTTCTTCCCCCCTCTCTCTCTCTCTTATTCCCTCCCCACCTTAAGGAAAACATGACGATGATGATGATGATGATGTGAACGCGACACGGGCGACGATTCTTTCGGTTTCACGATTCCCTTCAAATTATATGATCGATAATCCGCCATGATTATTTATCGCGGCGAAATTCTAATAATAATAATAATAATGACGACGACGACGACGAGGAGAATGATAATAATAATAATAATAATAATAACGATGAAGAAATACCATTGATTGAATTTCCGGAAATAATTTATTTAGTTTTTTATACCCGCGAATATTAAAATTCAAATCTCATTCTGAGAAGGTTGTCCGTCGGCTGGTATCCGACGGTTGTGATGCGGTCGCGATGATGATGATAATAATAATAATAATAATAATAATATGTGACGGTCGTATGGTTCGTTCGTTCGTTCGTACCGTGAACCTTCGTGTTTTTTTTCTCTCTCCCTATTTTTAATTTTTAAATAAAATCACCGAAATAAAAGACCACCACCACCACCACCCTACACCCTCCACCCTCTTCCTCCATTTCTCGTTAAATCATCGGTCAAAAGAAAGAGAAAAAAAATGTCAAACCAAAAATGGCGAAGCAGGTTTTAATTTTTCGTTTCCCCTCCTCGTATTCTTTCGTTTTCCGTTTTTTTTTATTTTATTTTTTCTATACCTGCTGCTAAACCTTAATTTTTCACGTTTTCGTATTTTTTTTATTTTATTTTTACCCAAACGTGTTTTGTGTGTGTGTGTGTGTGTGTGTGCGTGCGTATCTTTCTTCTTCGAAAAACGAAATTTTTTTTTTTGTAAATTCTTCTACGGTCATCGGGGGTGGGGGAGGGGGTTCATCCCTCGTTTTTTACGATTAATTCAAACGACTCAATTAAAAAAGTATACGATTAATGTCACATCGATTACGTTTTAAATAATAATAATCATAATAATAAAACGGAAAAATAAGAAAAAAATTTTTTTTTGTTTATCGCGTGTGAGAAAGAGAGAGAGAGAGAGAGAGACAAAATCGCCATTTTTTTTTTTTTTTTGGAAGGAAAAAAAGGAACCGGATCTTTTTTTTTTTTGTAAATTGGCTATTGATTTTTCAAACGGAAAAAAAAAAAAGTAAAGAAAGATGTCAACTCGAATTTCCACCACCCCCCCCTTCCCCCTGACCCCTCCTCACCTCCCTCCCCCCGAAAAAAAAAAATTTTTTTTTGTTTTCATAATTTTTTTTTTTTTTTTTGTCTCCCGTCCGTGACGACAAAACGTTTTAGTTTTCTCTCTCCCTTTCTCTCCCCCCCAAAATTCGTAATATCGAAATGAAATAATAATAATAATAATAATAATAATAATAATAATAACAAAATTCCGTGAAAACTAAACGCGCGACCTAAAAACAAAAAAAAAAAAAAACGTGGAAACAAAAAAAAAAGGTTTTCGTGAGGTTAAGCGTCCAAACAACAACAACGAAAAAAAAAAAAAAAGTAAAGTAACAAACAAACAAACAAACAACAATAGCGCGTCGATCGTGTACGAAGAATAAAAAAAAAACGAAATAATAATAATAATAATAATAATAAATTTTGTTGTTGTTGTTCTTTCTCTCTCTCTCTCTCTCTCGTTTGTTCGTTTGTTCGTTGAGGCAACCGAATTTTTAACGCTCGAGGCATAAAATTTGGGTGGCAACAATTATTTTCCATCAACTGACCACGAACTGTTTTGTTGCTAATGAGGGATCCAGAGTCGTCACACAACACAATTCAAGTTCAGTTTCAGACAAAAAATTGGGAGGGGAGAGGGGAGCAGGGATGGGAAGTGAGGGGAGGCACAAAAATAAGTTTAAATGTCGAATTGTCACGCACGCACGCACGCACGGACGGACGCACGCGTGCACGTACCTGAAATCGGCAACCATTTTGTTCGATTGTATTATCGATGATGATGTTATATTTTTAAATTTTATCCTTTTTCGAAAAGCCCCCCTCCCTCCCTCCCTACCTCCCTCCCTTCGGCATTTTCGTTTCGAACCTTTAACGAGTACAGAAAAAAAATTTCTCTTTTCAACCTTTTTTTTACGCGTCCGACATATTTTATCACGTGACTCGCGTTTAAAATAAATTTACAATTTTCTTCCCATTTTTTTTTTTTTTTTTTATTTATTTCGGTAAGAAGAAAAAGAAGACTTAAGAACAAAAAAAAAAAAAAAAGGAAAGAAAGAAACGACAACGCGTCTCGACATCCCGTCTCCAGAAGAAATTTGTCCCCCCCTTTCCCCCCCCCCCCGAAGACAGAAGTTTTTTTTTTTTTTTTTTTTTTATTCTTTCAATGGATCTCTTTGCTAAAAATAAAAAAAAAAAAAAAAAATATTGCCCTTTTTTTTTTTTTTGTCAAGTATATACGAAGGAATCTTCAACAACACCCGCCATTTTGTTTTGTTTTTGAACGAAAGATGAAAAGAATTTGCGGTTCGAACGAATAATACTAATAATAATAATAATAATGTTTAACAGACGATTATATATATTTATGAGTTTCTAGGGATTATTGAAAATTAACAACAACAACAACAAAAAAAATTTATTTATGTGTTTGATTTTTTTTTTTTTTTTTGTCGTTACAGGACTCGAAGGCTACGACAAATACGACAAGGATAGAGAGAACAACTTGAAATAATAATAATAATTTTTACTAGTATAACGTAGTTTGTGTTGTTTTTTTTAATTTTAAAATGACTACTGCTGTTGCGGGTTCTATAGTTAAACCACCGAGAAGATCAGTACGTTCGCTGTCGGTACAAGAAAAAGTTCACGCCATTGATAGAGTACACGAGGGTGAGTCGAAAGCATCGGTTGCGAGAGACATAGGAGTACCGGAATCCACTCTACGGGGTTGGTGCAAGGGAGAAGAAAAACTAAGAGGGATCGTCGCGAGGTCGAACGGTGGTGGAAATTCATCGTCCATTTTGATGGATACGTCGAATTCGTTGGACGAGTCATTCGAAAAAGTCGGAAAATATAATTTAACCGAAGGGTTAAGTCAAAGTGTTGTTAGCATAACGAATCAAAAGCGTGATTATTTTTCATCCCTCGACGAAGCACAACTACAACAGCAAAGTTCTTCTACGATCGGGAAAAAGCTACCCAAATTAGATATGAAAACAAACAACGATGTTCCCATGACGGAAAATTTCGAAAAAGTATCGAACCAAAGAAATTGTGATGAGAGTCCGATTAATTTTTCCAAAGACGGTGAAAACGATTTGACTGTTACCGTAAGAAAATCTTATTCTCCGGATGTATTGACGACTCCTCCTGCTGGTGCTGGTGCTGCTGCTGAAAAGAAGACCACGAGCACAAGCACGGCCGTTTCAGCTGCTGCTGCTGCTGCGGCAAACTCCCACAAGTCTGATGAATCTCAACGTGACGTACAAAATTTACGCAATCCCGCGTTACCTGCTTTGGCAGCAATTGCTTCCGCCATATCAAATAAAAATCAATTACTTTATAACGCGTACACGAATGGAATACTAAAAGACATGATACCGAAAGAAGAGCTTATTAACAAACCTTTGGATTATTCTAAAAAGGTCACGTCGAGGCTCCCACGTAATAATAACAACGTTAACGAAACTCTCATGCTGTGGTTACAAAGTCAAAGGGAACAAGCATCCATGCCTATGTCGCCGCTCGAAGCAAGAACGGCAGATTCGAGTAGTTGGTTTTGGAAATTGTACAAAAATTATGGAATTCTCACTCAGGTACGTGCGTAAATATCAATCAAATCCATGTATATAATGTTGTTGACTCGCTGAACCTTTTTTCTTCCCTTTCAGACGACAACTTCTTCTTCAAATTCGAAAACGAAATCGAGTAACGGTCATAGCATACAGGTATCGGACGAAGAAGATGAACCACCGGCTACGGCGGCAGATGCTGTCAGACACGGTGAAAAGTTCCTAAGATGGTTGGAATGCTGTAGCGATCCAAGCGTTACAGCTTTACAAATATTACAGTTCAGGTAAATTTTTTGTTTTTTTTTTTTTTTTTTGTACAAAATGGCGCACCACCGCGACATTTTTCTTATTTTTTCTCCCCCGCCTCTCCCCTTTCTTTCAGGTATTTGCTCAACAACGTAAAAGAATGTGCTGAGCGTCGGCGACAACAGGTTAGAACAAAAACAAGATCTCGTCGTAAGTGAATTTATTAACAAACAAATCAAACATTAAAAATAATTACTATCTCAGCAGTGCCTTCTCCATCACAACAAACAAACAAACAAACAAACAACTCGCTATTAATACTCGACTGTAACAACAACAACAACAACAACAAATTAAAATTTTTTAGTTTTTTTAGTTTTTAGTTTTGTAAAAATAATGAGAGAGAGAGAGAGAGAAAAAGTATTATTCTGCCATTTAAATTATATATATATATAAATATGCCAAATATTATTATTATTATTATGATAAGTTTTAAGTCACATCACGTTTGTTTAGACTTGTCATTATTATTATTATTATTATTATTATTTTTTTTTTTTAAAATAATGATAATGATGATAATAAAAAAAAAAAAAAAAAAAACTAGTCTGATAATATTGATTTCCGACTTAAAAATTTTCTTCTTTTTTTTTTTTTTTGTTCATTTATTATTATTATTACTATTATTATTATTATTATTATTATTAGTATTATTATTATTGATTTGTCATTAAAATGTTTAAATATAAACATTTTAAACATTCCATTTTTGTTTTATATACATGATCTCAATTTTTTTTTTTTTTTTTTTTTTTTTTTAGATAGATAGATTTAAAAGAAAAAAAAATTTAGTTTTTAATTTTAGTCGCCATATTGTTTTCTTTTTTCCTTTTTCTATTTTTTTTTTTATTTTTCCCCTTTTTTTAAATAAATAAATAAATGTTTAGTTATTATTAAATTTAGATAATAATAATAATAATAATAATTAATAATAATTTTAAAAAATTGTATTATTTAGTATATACCCGCGAGTTACTTATTTACTTATTTCAATAATTTTTTACTCACAAATGGTAATAATAATGATATATTTTTTTTCAATTTTTTTTTCGCGCGCTTTTTTTTTATTTATAAAACGTTAATTTAACGATTTTATTATTATTATCATTGATTCTGTTTGATACTTCCGTAATACCAACAAAATAAAAAAAAAATTTTTTTTTTTTTTTTTTTGTAATTATTAAGTCAGTGAGTGACATTTTTTTTTTTTTTCTTATTCTTTTTAAAACTATTATTATTATTATTATTATTGCATCACAAAGAAAATAAATTGATTTAATGATAATGATAATGATGATGATGATATTGTTTTTAGTTTTTTTAGTTTTTTTTGTTTTATTTTAAATGTAATTTAAGTGTATTATGATAAAAATTTTATTATTATTATTATTTAGATGAAATTTAGAAATAAATAAATGTTAATTAATTAATTAATTAATTAATTGATTGATTGATTGATTGATTGATTGATTGATTGATATGTACGTGACTTATTGATGTGTAGTTTAAAAGCAACAAACAACAACAAGAAAATTTTTAGAGATTTGTAGATTTAAACACATAAGATATTTAAAAAAAAAAAAAAGGGTAAAAAACCAAAGTTGATAGATTTTTATAGGTTAATTATATAAAATAATTAATTAATTAATTTGTAAAAAAAAATTTAAAAAAAACTTACCAATACAGTAGGATTATCTAAAACTTCATATGTTAAATGTTCGGCAACAAAACTAGAACATCCTTCCCAAGTTTGTAATATAGGAAATTCACAATTTGTCGGCCTGATTGTTGTACAAACCATTTTCTGTAGTTTTTATTTACAAAAAAAAAAAAAATAATAATAATAATAATAATATATATATAAATTTTTGATATATATATATATATATATATATATATATATATATATATATATATATATATATATATATATATATATATATATACATACATATAAAATAAAGATTTTTGTTGTTTTTTTTTTTTCAAATGAAATGATTGTTAATGTAATGTTTCTTTTTTTATAGATTTTATGTTTATAATGGGAAAATTATTATTTTTAACGGTTTTTTTTTTTTTGAAAATTTAATTACCTGAACGCCACATTCGTTTTCACATGCTAATAATAACGGTCTACGATGTGGATACATATTGTGAAATTGTAATCTAAAATTTTCAGCATACCAAAAAAGTAATTTTTCTTTTTTATTATTTGTTAAATAACTTATCGGATAATGTAAACGCCTGAAAATTGAAAAAAAAATTCATTTTAATGGCTACTTAATGGCTACGGTTTATAATAATGATAATAATTTGTTCATGTCATACTCATCGTAATCGATTTCAGGTACGTCCGTCCAACATAATTTTATAAGTCCTAAATCGTGTGCGATATCTTTTAAATGTTGTTCGGTTACGATTCCCGATGGCACATCGAAAAATTTTCTCTTTTCTAAATTATATTCGGATGTTTCTTCGTCAATTAAAAATTCGCTATCAACGTCTTCACCCCATAATGTCGTATATTCAGATTCGGATTCTTCTTCGACGACATCTTCGATTTCTTCTTCATCTTCATCCATTTCAATACTGAAATTATATACGTGTATAAAAAGAAATATGTTTTGTCAATAAAACAAAACAAAATATTAAAAAAAAAAAAAAAGAAATTAAAAATTTATTATAATATCATCGAATTAATTTAATAACATTATTGACAAACTTCTAAATGTAACCCGACATGCGCCTTTACTAATCTACTTCCACGACTATTTGCTTATATAAAAATTCGTCTGCTAGAATTTTTCAAGTTCTACGTTTTTCTGTTAAGGTGACCGTTTACACTTGCCCTTTTTTTTTTTTTTTTTCATTTTAATTAAATATATTTCGTTTTTAAGTAATTTTTATCGTGTAAAGCATTAATGAAATGAAATTATTATTATAATTATTTGGTTTTATTAAGTTTATGTTGTTTAATTGCGTAAAAATAAAATAAAATATAACTTTATCGTAATCATGGAAAAAAGCGATGCTGAATCTCCAGTTGCATTGGCAAAATCAAAACCGACGAGTCCCGACGAAAAAGCACCAGATTCATCGGATAATACAACTCCATTAAGAAGAGTTGGACGACCGAAAGGAAAAAAAAGAAAAAAGGTTATAAAATATAATTAAAATAATAATTATTATTTTAAAAGAGAAAAAAATTTTAATACATTTTTTTTTAAATTAAATAGATTTCTAAAGATGCTGAAGATCCTCAAAAACCATTAAATGCTTACAACTGGTTTGTAAAAGAAAATAGAGAAAAAATAAGAGCACAAAATCCAACATGGAATTTCACAGAGATTACAAAAAAATTAGCACAAGATTGGAAATCGTTAAGCTGTGAAGAAAAGCAACAATATATAGATTCGGCAGAAAACGATAAAGAAAGATATGCTAAAGAATTAACAGCATATAAGCAAACTGATGCGTATAAAGCATTTAAAAAAAGTCAAAAGAGAAAGGAAAGTTGTAAAAAGTTGAAGGAAAACATACCAAGTTGTACATTAGATGACATAAATCAAATAAAAGATGATGGTACGAGTTTAGATATACCGATATTCACCGAAGAATTTTTAGATCATAATAAATTAAGAGAAGCGGAATTGAGACAATTGAGAAAATCAAACACTGATTATGAACAACAAAATTCAATATTAGAAAAATTAATTGAAAATACAAAATCTGCTATACACAAATTAGAAGAAGAAACAGTGCAACAAAAGTGTCAAAATCAAACACTTCAACAACATTTAGATCAAATGAGATTGATTCTCACGAATGGTTTTAAAGAAATATCGCTGCCAGGTTTGTGAAATAATTTTATATTTAATAAAACTTTTAATAATAATAATAATAATTTTTATGTTTATAACTTTACAGGTAACGATGATGAAAAACCAACACTCGAAACAATAGATTCTTATGTGACTAAACTTCACCAATTATTACTCACACAAAATATGAATTCTCCATTATATGTTAGAGTGAGAGAAGTTGTTCAGCAATTAAATTTACATGGATGACCTGAACAAATGAATGAAAAAAAAAAAGAGGAAAAGAAAAAATTAAATAGGAAAAAACGGGGTAAAGTGATGGCGAAACAAACGAAAAAAAAAAAAATTAAAAACAAACATAAAATAATAAAAAGTGATAATCTTTTTATTACTTTCGGTTTGGATGGTTTCGACAAGAAAGAATAAAAAAACTAAGTTTATTTTTTATTTATTTATTTATTTATTGAACATCGATAAAGCGTCGTGATTAATAATAATAAAATTGACGTGAAAGTGAAATATGGAAAAAAAAAAAAAAATATTTAAATTACATTTAAGAAACTCTAAATAACATTTTTCTTTGAAATCTGTGTTGCAATTCTCCTCTTCTTATCATTGCGTAAATAACTTTCTGAACAGCAGCCTCTGGATATTTCTATATGAAAAGAAAGGAAAATTTGAAAATTACATTGAGGAATTAAACGAAAATTAAATTTTCAACGAAAAAAAAAAAAAAAAAAAAACACGTACGTATTGAGTAAAACTTTGAATGATTGTATTAATTGAAATTTGTGTTCCAACGGCAAATCTTCTTTTTAAATTTTTTTCTATTCTTATCAACATCTCATGATCTTCTTGAGTTGTAAAACCTTCAGCTCCTGTTTAAAAAAAAAAAAATTTTACTTCGTTTATTTAATGCCTTTTGTTTTTCTCTCTCTCAAAACTAGGAAAATTATCATCCGAAATCAACATTTTATTAAAAATAATGATAATATGAGTACCGGATAATGATCCAGACATGGCGGCATCTAATGTCGAAACTTGAAATAAACGAAGAGCTTCTTCAACGTGTACTTCCGTTGCAAATGGAAGGAGTTGCATTTTTGCCAGTGATTCAGACATTCGAATGATGGCTTCCAATTGTCTCACAGTTATCGGTATGCTATTTTTTTTGTCCGTTTGCATTTCGTGTTCTTTTGCTCCACCTCTCATTAAAACGTATCTGTGTTTTAATTTTTCTCCAGCTGCTTCCGATAAACGTGGTCCGCAATGACTGTGGAAAATGAGTGAAAATTTAATTTAATTTTTCTTTTTCGGCGTATTTAAATAATAATAATAATTTGAAATATCTCACGTTCGACAATAATGTATGTATTTTTTCAATAGATTTATCGGCATTTCTCCAGCGACTGTTGTTTCTTTAGATTTTCCACCGGTCATGTGAATGTTCATTATATGAGTTGCCAAAGTCTGAAACGATTAATTCATTTTTTTTATTTTTATGCGCCCCCCCTCGTACAGGTTTGGTCAACGGGGAAAAAGGAAAGAATTAACTCACGATATCTTTTTCAGCATTATGTTCATCTTTGACGATGAAAATCATATCGAATCTAGACAAAATGGTCGGCATAAAATCGATATTTTCTTCTCCTTTCGTTTCGTCCCATCGTCCGAACACGGAGTTGGCAGCTGCTAATATCGAACATCTCGAGTTTAACGTGGTTGTGATTCCCGCCTAAAATTTTAACAAGTTAGTTAAACGAATTATTACAAGAAACGCCGATAATTCTACCATTTCCCAATACCTTTGCTATCGATATCGTCTGCTGTTCCATTGCTTCGTGAATGGCAACTCTATCATCCTCTCTCATTTTGTCAAATTCGTCAATGCATACCACGCCTCCATCTGCCAATACCAAAGCTCCTCCTTCCATCACGAAATTCCTCTATTGAAAAAGAAAAAAAATTCATTGAGACGAAGAGTACATGTGAAAATTAATAAATGATAAATTTTTAATTTACCGTGGCAGCATCTCTAGAAACGGAGGCTGTTAGACCAGCGGCAGATGAACCTTTTCCCGACGTGTAAACACCAATGGGAGCAACTTTCTCGACAAATTTCAACAATTGTGATTTAGCAGTACCAGGATCCCCGAGAAGCAAAATATTGACGTCACCACGACGAATCAAACCGTCAGGTAATCGTTTTCGAGATCCGCCAAATAACAAACATGCCATTGCTTTTTTTATCTCATTAAAACCGAAAATACTGGGAGCGATTGATTTTGTTACTTTTTCATACACGTCGGAAGCAGCTAATCGTCTGAACTCTTCTTCTTCATCGCGAGTAACGTTCAAAAATTTACTGAGACCCGTTCCCGAATCACACACTTGAATACCTACAACTCTGATGTACGGATGTCTTATCCCAACGACAAATTTTTCTCCTTTCTGAAATTCATTGAAGTAGGAAAGTATTAGATAAAATAAACTCCCTTTGAATTTCATCCATTACCCCAAAATTTACCTTTGCCTTTGTAACAACTTTTTTAATAGAATAAATTCCAGTGATAATAACTCTGTTGCCAGGAACTACTTTATCACATAATTGACGATCGACATATAGCTGAAGATGACGAGGCATTTCTCCCTGTGGTAAGTCATCTGGAAGTTCTTGCATTTTTAGCGTTTGAAAATCTACACAAGAGCACTTATCTGGTAATATAAAATATGGATCCAATGGACATTGTTTATCAGCTCCCAGTCCTCTCGTTTCTCTAGGCTGTGCACTATTTGAAAACAATGTTTTAGGTATATATTTTTACATTTAAAAATATTATTTTGAAATTTAACTTTTCAATATTTAACTACCTGCTACATTTTCTCGGAAGAGCAAATCCATCTAAACCTAACTTTATGGCAATGTTGGGAACTACAGTCAAGCAACCTCTGCATTGTATACTCATTTTAGTAGCTTTACTTCTGATTCCTGATGCCGAGACAATTATCCCAGAAACTTTAACTAATTTCGAAATCATTTCCGATTTCATATTTCTAAGCACGACTGGATTGTCATCTGAAGTCAAGAGTACCTGTACATCTTTAACTATTTCTTCTCCTTCTGGGCGTGGATGAGTTATTTCATCTGCAACTTCTTTGGTAGCTTCTTCAAACTAATAAATAGTAAAATTACAAAAAAAAGCTTATTACCTTTAATTATTTAAAATAACTTTAATTTAATATATATAACCAATTAATTACCACTGGCAAATGTTCTGCTGGTTGTTTATATAATTTTTCAGCAAGATTTTCATCAAAGCTGGATAGATCTTGTAAATTGATTTCCAATGAATAATTACCAAGACCATAATTTCGTTTAAGAGCATCTCTATAAATTATTATTATTTTTTTAAAATTAAAATTACCCTTTGTACAAATCCATGACAAAAAAAAAAAATTTGTTTACCTATATTTATAATTAAAATTTCCTTCGTGAAATTTTCTTAAAAAATCTTTAAAACTCTGTTTTATTGCTTTAAAACTCAATGTAACACCTTCTTTATTATCACCAGTAAAGTTTTGTGAGAAAAAAATACCACCATCATCAAAACCTTCCATTTTGTTGTTAATGTAAAAAAAAAAATTTTAGCGGGAAAAAATTCTACACCAGCGCTTCTAGCGGTGATTTTATTCATTATTCTTGTAAGCAAGTTTACACACACACACATATACAAAATATGGTGGAAGTTAAAAAAAATTCCGTATTCGTATTTTAATATATATTCTTTATTATTAATTTTTTATTCTTTTTTTTTTTTTTTCGTCATCAAAATTTATCAACTTAATTTAAATACAAAAAAAATTTTTTTTTTTTTTTAAATAACGACGCTTCAGTTGAATATTGAACATTAAATGCTTAGCAAAGTAATTTAAAGTTAAAGTATTTTTTAGGATTTTGAAAAAAAAAAAAAAAAAAATGTGTTATTCAAAAGAGGTGAGAGATTTTTATTATCTATTAATTTGATGATTAGTATAAATTTTTTATTATCTATTATTAATTAATAATCCATAAAATAGAAAATCAATCGTTAAGATAAACGCGTTTATTTATTTTATTTTTTAATTTTAATTTTTTTGTGTTTTTTATTTTATTTTTTGGTGTTGGATGATAAAATTAATCAAGAAAAGGAAAGTAAAAATTATTATTATTATTATTATTATTGTAATATTTTTTCTTTTTTTATCATCATCATAATTATTATTATCATTAATAAGTAATTAAATAGTTTATTAGTCTTCAACATACAAACGTTTTCAAAACTTTTTTTTTGTGAAAAATGATTATTTGATGGCTACTTGGTAAAAAATTATTTTCATAATAAGTTGTAAATTATTTAGCATATAAATTTCTATATTCAAATCAATAAGTTTTATTTATAATAATAATAATAAATAAATAAATTTATTACCGGTTTAATAAAATCACGTTTTTCTATTTTGAATGTGATTCAAGGTTAAGTTAATTTTAATTTTTAACTGTAAATATCATAATAACCTTTTGCAAATATTGGCATTTTTTTTTGTATTAATAATTTCTTATCTGAATTATCACATTGAATGTTAAATCAAATCGGTAATAATTGTTATGAAATATTTTAAATGAAAAATTTTTTGTTAATCGAATGTTTCATGCAAAAACATTCTTCAGATTTTAAAATTAGTTTGTCAGATATTGATTAGTGAAAAAAACCGTCAATACTAGACAGTTATAAAGACAGGTACCGGTTTTTTTTTAATAAGTGGTGGTTATTTTTTTTTTTTTGTTTTTTAAAAAGTCATTGAAATATTTTCTTTGTTGCCTGTTCAACTGAAGATTCTTTTAGTCAAGGTTATCAACTTTCTTTAAATTCTTCTGGTTCATAATTTTTCTATTGTGGTTCTCTGTTGCTTTTTAGAAAGCAGTAAAACATTCACAAAGTTTTATCCATATGTTGAATATATTTTTTTTAAATCTTGTTTTTCCAGTGGAAATTATTAAAATATCATTTTTTTTTTTTAAATAGGTAATTTATTTCATCAAAATGATTTAATTTTTTTTTAAAAGTTAAATAATTAATTTATTTTATTTATTTCGAATGTAATTGAATAGTGATTTTTTGAATAGTCTGTTATATAAAGTTAAAACTAATAAGTTGTCTATAATTAATTTGTCATTGTTTTTAATATTATCTTATTAAAAATTTCTTAATTTTAATCATGAAAACTTTTATATTTCTTTGCTTTTAGAAATATTTTCTAACTCTTGGCATTTGTTAAATAACGGTAAAAAATTCTGTCTGTTAAGTAAAATTAGTCGAGACAAAAAAAAAAAATTTAAAACATTTTTAACAGGATTGAAAATAAAATGAATGAAGAATATTTATTTGATAAAAGTCTTTTGGAAAAATTAGACTTTCAACCTGCCAAAAATGTTTTTAATCCATTTATAAGTGCTGGCAATCCTGGCAAAGGCCTTTGTGTTAGACCTCTTTCCACTGGTGATTACGATAAAGGTTGTTATATATATAATTTCAAATAAATACCTTGCATGGCTAATATAAAAATGATAAATCAATAATTTTTTCATGATTTTAGGATTTATGGAACTTTTGGGTCAATTAACAGATTCTGGTCATCCGACAAAAGAGGAATTTTTGGGTAAAAAAATTATTTAATCGAAACTTTTGACATGAAATTAAAATTTTACAAAGTGTTAAATTTGGCTTATTTTTATTATTATTATATTTTTCATATTAGAAAAGTTTAAAGCGATGAAAGAATGTGTGAATACATATTTTGTAACTGTTATCGAAGATTTAAACACTAATAAAATAATTGGTGCTGCTACTCTGGTTGTGGAGCATAAATTTATTCATCGCTGCAGCAAGGTACGTTCAAAGTTTTTAATTTTTACATCTCGACTAAATGATTATTATTATTATTATTATTATTAATTTTTTTTTTACACAGAGAGGACATTTAGAAGATGTTGTTGTCAACAATACATACAGGGGTAAACAATTAGGAAAATTGTAAGTTAGTTTAAACAAAAATCATTTTTCAATTCATTTGCTTTCATTTTAATGTATCTTTTTTTTGTTTTTTTCCTCACATTAGAATCGTAGTGACTGTAACACTTCTTGCAAAACAACTCGGATGTTACAAAATGTCACTGGAATGCAAAGATAAATTGATACCGTTTTATGTCAGTTTAGGATATAAGTTGGAACCTGGAAATAGTAATTCGATGGTTCAAAGATTTAATGTTGCACCATCCTGACAATTAGCCGCCAGGGCTAAGCTATAGAGTGTTTACATCACTCTTAAGCTTACAGCAGGATTGGTTTTATCATTATGTGATATGAAGTAGTTTAAAAAAAAAAAATAACTAAAAACCATATCCTGCAAACATCAAAGCCCTGGCCCTTGGTTGTGGTTCGGTATATATACAAGATTGTGAATTCGAATAGACTTGTTTGATATAATGATAATAGTAATCGGTGGATGGCAATGTTAATTCGAAATTAATTTAAAAATTTAGTTTAAAAAAAAATTTGTGTATTGTGTATAAAGAGTTTTAATTTAAATTTGGTTTGTAAAATACTCGAGTTTAGGATAAGAAATTTAAAATTTGTTTAAGTTAACTAATATTTTGTTTTGATCTGATAAAAATTAAGCTAAATAGTTTTCGATAAGTTAATTTTATTGATAAGGTTAAGAAAATGGTTTTGGTATGGGAAGGGAAGGGAACATTAGTTATAATATTTTAAAATTTTTATTAAATTGTGTTATCCTATTATATGTAAATAATAGAAGGAAATACAAAAAAAAAAAAATGTTAATTAAAGTTTATTGTATGCTTCAAGATCCTTAATTAAAATAATTTTACGATGAATTAAAATAAAATGTTAAAAATTTTGCAATATAAATTAATTTTTTTTCAGAGGGAGAATGAGACAAAATGATATTTATCCATTTGGAGAAAGAAGGGGAGAGAGAGAAAACAAACGAATGAAAGAATTAAATGAAAATCAAAAATGCAGCATATATTGAAAATCATGTGTAAAATGAAAAATGGTTGGATGACGAGGAACATGTTGGAAAAGCGTAATAAAAAAATAATTTTCGAAAAAATGTTTAACGATTGGAAAATATCTTGCACGTGCACCGTCACACATCAAAGATATGAAAAAATGAAAGGATTGAATCGTGAGAAAAGTTCCATTACCTTCATAAGATATTTAACGAGCGATAAAATGAAAGGGGATGATAAAAATGGCGGGAGAGGAATCGGAAATGATGATAAAATTCTTATGGAAAAAATAATTAGAATGACCGGAAATGATGAGGAAAGACAACGCGATGGAAACGCTGCTGCAAAAATATCATTTAAAAATGCCAAAAGAAAAATGAAAGAAAAGGGAAAAATAATAATTCAAGATATAAAAGACACTAAAAATAAAATGAAAGAAAAATTCGAAGGAGTTATCGAGGTTGGAAAATTTACAACTTTGAAAAAGTTTTCATCATCAGTGTTATTATCATTATTATTATCATTATTATTTTTTTCCAGAGGGAAAACGTGTACACGATACCGAATCTCATATGCGTGACGAGAATAGGATTATCACCTCTTCTAGGGTATTTGATAATATCGGAAAATTTCGAATATGCTCTTGCTTTCATGGTAATAGCCGGAATCTCTGATTGGGTGGGTGTTCAATAAATCAATATTGTCATCATCTTCACTCACACACACACACACCTTTTCCTAGGCAAGTTTCTTTCTTATTGATCCTATCTATCTATCTATCTCTATCTCTCTCTCTCTGTCTTCTATTCAATAATTGAAGCTTCCTCCTCCCCACCACCACCACCACCACCCTCCTCCTGCTGCTGCTGCTGCTGCAAAACTCCTTCCTTTCAATTTTTCCTTCTTCTTTGCTTCCTTATAAAGAAAGGAACAAATAATTTACTTGAAATTCTTTTTTAACAAAACCTTTTTTCTAAGTTTAAAAAAAAAAAAAAAAAATCTATCTTGCAGATAGATGGTTGGGTTGCTAGAAATTATAAAAGTCAAAGTTCAAAAATTGGAAGTTTCCTAGATCCAATGGCTGACAAAGTTCTTATCGGAACGTTATTTTTAAGTCTGACATATGTTTCACTAATACCAGGTAATAATAATAATATTCGTTTTGCTAAATAATATTTTCATAGATAAAAAAAACGTGGCAGATGAGGAACCAACCATTTTTTTTTTTTGATTTTCAGTTGCTCTCACGGCTTTGGTTATATTCAGGGACGTTATTTTAATAACATCGGGTTTCGTTATAAGATATCAATCGTTACCGCCGCCGGTAAGTTATTTTTTAACGTATTTCTTTGCTTCTTTCTCTGTCTACCTCTATCTACCTCTATCTCTCCATCTCTCTCTCTCACTCAGAGAACATTAAGCCGTTATTTTGACGTGACACATGCGACCGCTCAATTGGCACCCACGTTCATAAGTAAAGTAAATACCGGAGTGCAATTGGTTTTGGTGGGTACGACGTTAGCCGCTCCCATTTTCGGATACGTCGACCATGTTTTTCTTCAAATAATGTGTTACGTCACGGCGGGTTCCACGATCATGGCCGCCGGTAGTTATTTAACATCAAAGGAAACTTATAAATTTTTGAAAAGTCAAAAGAAATTATAATAACCGTTATACTACTCCTAATAATAATAATAATAATAATAATAATAATCATAATACTGTATATAAACTCTACGTACAAAAAAAAAAAAAAAGAAATTAAAAATTTTTTAAATAGTAAAACCATAATTAAATTTTTTTTATCGAATATATTTTTCCCCTCTTATGGTAAATAATCACAATGGTTTCTATTTATGAGTTAAATGGTGATGATATAAGTTTTCTTATGTTAATCATGTAGAAATCAAAAAAAAGAAGGAAAGATTTATAAAAATATTTCATATAATAACAATTATGTACATGACGGGCAATCGAGTGTTAACGACAAAAACAAAATGTCGAAAACATCGATATATATATATTTTGAATTAAATGAAACTAATAAAATATTTTTATATTTTATGCGAAGCTGCTGTATGGTTGAAGGTAATACATTTCATATGGGGATTCTCTTCTGTAATAGAAACTAAACTGTAATCCGACATAATCGATTTCTAATTTAAATGGTCCTGAATTGGCATCGTCAAGAGTTATTCCGAATTTAGCAATTTTATCTAAATTCATTGTGCCTTTATTATTACCATCGAGGTAATTGTCCTTAGAAAATAAAAAGTGTCTAAACGGAATCTGAAAATATTGAAAATAATTTTTTATCAGAGATAAATTTTTTTTTTATTTAAATCAGTAAAAACTTTTTTTTTGTATTTTACCCTTGTAACTTGCCAATATGGCCCTCCTCTTGTATAAAGCGGATGAAAGTATTTGTCTTCGTATTCACTCTCGAATTTTCCAGGAGATGGAAGAAGTATTGTATATGTTCGTCCATCACCTCTTACTTTTAATACTAAATGTGTGTAAGCTGTCCAATTATAATAACTTTCCCTATAAAATGATTTCTAAAGAAAAAGGTTCAAAATTTTGTAAATAAATATGAAATGGGGAAAATGAAACAATTTTTGAATAAAATAATTTTAAAAAATTAAAGATTCACCAATTTTCTACCACTCATTATGTTGGCATAACCAGTGTATTTAACATTTCCATCCTTGGGAACTTCAGTCGAAATGTTACCGGAAAACAAAGCTGTTCCTTCTTCGGTTATTTTTAATGAAGCTGAACTATATCCTCTATTGTTTGAACTGTCTGTTGTTACAGTAAAATAATCTAAATCCTCTTCACATTCAAATTTAAATAACATATCGATGACTCCATCTCTTTCAATTGGACTCTCTGCATTTCTTCGGTTTAATATAAATGAATCTATCATTTCTTCCTTAAGTACTTTTATTTCTTCTCTTGCTATTCTAATACCATCTTTATAAACATTGACGTTTTTATAATTTTTTTTAACAAATTCAATGAATTGTTCTTCTTTTGATTTTTCTTGATTCAAATTAAAATGACTAGTATTTAATTTACATTTTGAAATATTGTAATATTCTACTTTATTAAGACTTCCATAAACTTTATGAAAAAATAAACTTGAATTACAACTAATCGGTTTTAATGAATTTCTTATCATTTTAAAAATTTATTTTAAAAAATTAAATAAATTTCATTAAAAATAAGAAAAAAATTATAGGATAACACCACCATCACATAAATTGAAGAATCGTGGCTTTAGAAAAACAGTTAAAGTTATCGCGCTAAAATTACATTCGATTAAAATTTTACCTCCAATATGTATCGGTTAAGAGGGAAAAAAATTTTAATTGATTTTTTAATATTTAATAAAGTTTTAAAAGTTTATAACAATTTACTTAACGAAAATATTGATAGAAAAGAAAAGTGAACAAAAGTAATTAATCTTTAAATGTGATTTTAATATGTGATAAATCAAGTAAAATTTTTTTTTACTTTCTTCATTTGAATGGCAGGGGGAAAAATTCAACATCATTCAAGGTAAGAAATTTTAAAAATTTATCATACTTGTATAAATACTCATAAATATATATGTATTCTGCCAAAATATTCAATATAAATTCTCTTTTTAAGATTTTTTCATAAAATTTTAAACACTTGGGAAAATTTTTTTAATTACTTCGCTTATGAAACTAATAAAGTAATTTTAGCTTTCAATAGATTATTAGATTATCTAATTATAATATCAATCGTTTAAAAAAATTTAAAATGGCTAAATACATATTTGCTTTCGGTATTATAAATTAAAACAAAAAAAAAAAAAAAAATTAAACAAATGAGATAATTGTCTTGGAAATTATCATTATTGCCTTGAGATAAGATCTAACGCGGTTTTCGAACATACTAATTACCTTGAGTAGGTAAATTCAATTTAGCAGGTTAAATAAATGATACAATTATACCCATCAGAGAATTTGCAAATATTTATTTTAAAATTTTAAGCTTGAGTATTAATTAAGGGAGAAAGAAAAAAAAAAGTGCGGTAATAATAAATTTTGCTTAATAATTTATTAAAGTTATTATTAACTGGTGCTAAACGCAGGAAAACAGTTTTCGGTATGTAAAAATTTTACTGAGTTAATACTTTGAAAATGTGTTTTCGATAAATGAAAAAGAAATCAAATTAGTTTAACTAGCTATGAATTATTTGTTTAATTTTTGAAAAATTAAAAATTCATAATCAATGGGTGATTAATAAATTAACAAGAAGTATGTGAATAAGATATATTTATAAAATTCTCCAACACCTACTCGTTTACAAAATATATATTTCAAATCCAAACATTTTTTTTCAATAAGTTTAATATTTAACAAACCAAAAAAAAAAAAATACCTGTTGTACAGATAAATACTTAGTAATATTAATAATGATATCTTTTTTATCATAAATAAATAAAATTTATTGTTTAGGCATTGATGACACCGAACAAATGCCAACAATTTTTTTATAATGTTGTTCCATTTTTAAACTTGTCACCAAAAAATTACCCAATTCATATTTAGATACAACTCTTCCACCAGGAGATGCATCATTTTTAACAATGTATTCCGATTTTGGATTATCCGCTATGTGGGGGGGAAATACCGCAATGTAGTTCAAGTTGCTCGATTTGAGCACATCCAACATTCTTCCATGTTCTTCATTAATGTCTTTAAATACTGGAGGAACTTTGTCAAGATCATAAAACAAAAATGCTGATAAGCAAACAGATATGACATCAATATTATTTTCTTTCATTGCATGCACAATATTTTTCAAACCATTCGATAAATCTGTTGTCGGTTCTGAAAACAAAATTTTTACATACATATTGTGCATTTAATCATGTTGTTAAGTTAAATGAATATGTAATAATTCATAACTCATTCTTTAAATCATTTAAAATTTAAATTTGATAGTAGATTTTACATTTTTATTTCGATTACACATTATTATCTTGCAAAAAAACAATTTACCCAAATTATTTCTCGTTCCTAGAACAACAACGACACCATCGACACCAGAAACTGTTTTTTTAACATCTTCCAAATTGGTGACATCTCCTTTAACAATTTCCACTTTATCATTATATTCGCTGGGTAATTTGCTAGGATCTCGAAGAAGTAATTTAACTTTAAAACCTATAATAAATGAAAATAACAAACATTAACAAATGTTTCTTAATAAACAATTTATAAAATTTTCCCGAAAAATATCTATTTATCATTTATTACTCGATAAAATTAGAAAAAAACTTTTAATTCATTTATTTCTCAATTTCAACAATCTGATAACCTTTTTTTGATAATTGATAATAAATTTATTATTAAATTAACAATTATTGATAATCAATAGTTATGAGTAATTAATTAATTAAAAAAAAATTAATACCATGTTGGGAAAAAAAAAAGCAAAATTTTTAATCAAGGATAACAAGGTGTGACAAGTTTATGTTAATAAATTAATATTCAATAACAAGATTTTAAAAAAAAAAATTAAATTAATAATTTTATTAGCACACATATCAAATTGATTGATTTATTAATTTTAACCAAAAAAATTAATAAATATTAATAAATAATTTAAAAGAAATTTACCCAAATCCAATGCTTCTTTTAATGCACAAATACCGGTCATTCCTGTTGCTCCAAACATGGCCAATTTTTCCATTTTACTCATTTTTAAATTATATTTTTAAATTATTTATTCGAAACGATTAAAAAAAAAAAAATATTTTAATTATTATTAGAGTGTAATAATTAGAAAATATTATTAAACGAAAATAATAATAAATAAATAAATAAAATAAATACTTGGCAATAATGAAAATTATTATTATTACTATTCACACTGACTTAACAAAACTCAATATCAAATTAATCAAAATCAATGTCGATATCAACGTGACCAAACAAAATGGAGTTATGTTATGATAATAAAAAAAAAAAAAAAACAATAATAATAACTACAACTCTACCTCCTCGCCCTCCTCCTCCTCCTCCTCCTCCTTCCCCTTCTCATTAAAACCTTTTTAATAATTTTTTATTCTATTTTTTTATATATATATATAGAATACATTCGAGTATATATATGTATAGAATACAATACAATTATTATTATTATTATTATTATTATCCTTTAAGATCACATCAAAATGACAAAAAAAAAAAAAAAAAAACAACAAAACTATTATTTAACGATGTTCCATTATTATTGACATAATGATTATTATCGTTATTATTATTATTATTATTTTTTTTTTTTTATGCGTTTTATTTCCTTAATAATAATAAATAATTTAATGTAATTAATTAATCGTTGAAGATGTCATTGATGTTATTATTATCAAGACGAGGGGGGAAAAAAAAATGCAACGATTAAATTATTTTAAGGAAAAATTATTATTATTATTATTATTTTGAATCTGGGAAAATTTGGGAAAAAACTATTATTATTATTATTATTATTTATTAATCGATAGAAATTTAATATGCATTTTTTGATTAGATAAATAATATCTAAAAATAAGTAGTAGTCGTTTACAAGTGTGTCAGAGTAATTGATATATGTTAATAAATGAGAGAGAAAAAAAACTTATAGATTATGAAATTACGTAATAATAATAATAATGATATAAATAATAATAATAATAATAAACTGTAAGGAAAAAAAATTGATTGATAAATGCATGATAAAATGTTAAAACTGTTTTTTTTTTTTTACTGTTGCTGTTGTTTTTATTTAT